ACGGCGCCGCGCGCCGCGAGGAGGCCGCCAAGGATCCCCGGCCTGGGCCGGCGAGGTCGCCGGCGGCGCGGCCTACCCCTACGCCGACCCGGAGCTCCGCGTCTGCCACGTCGAGGCCGGCGACGCCCAGCTCGTCCTCGAGCGCGCCGTCGACGCGGGCCAGCTCGCCGTGCTCAGCTCCTACGTCCTCGCGTCGGGCGCGCTCATCGAGAAGCGCGCGCTCGGCATCGACGGCGACAAGTACCAGAAGGTCATGGGCTTCGCCGGGGGCTTCATGCAGGCGGCCCAGGAGGTCAACGGCTGCGCGGAGAAGCTCGGCCGCGGCACGGAGCTCATGGCTTTGCTCCACAAGCTCGAGGACGCGAAAGCGTCGGCCTGAAGCGTCGGGCTCGACTCGACCGACGCCGCCGCCCCGCGCCGCGGGGGCCCGCCCGCTCCCCCCCGGCGCCGGCCTAATAGACCGCTCGTTTACAGGGACAGGGTGAGCGGGGGGGACGAAGGCCGAGCCGGGACCTCGGCCGGGGGTGGCGCGGGCTGCTGCTGGTCCGTCGCTTCGAAGGCCGGCCGCGCCTCGGGCGCCCGGCCGGAGGTCGGCCGCGCCTCGGACGCCCAGCCGGAGGCCGGCCGCGCCTCGGACGCCCGGCCGGAGGCCGGCCGCGCCTCGGACGCCCAGCCGGAGGCCGGCCGCGCCTCGGCCGCCCAGCCGGAAGCCGGCCGCGCCTCGGACGCCCAGCCGGTGGACGGCGACGCCGCGGCCGGCGGCGGGTCCGCGCTCGCGATGCGCTCGAAGAGCGATCCCGCGCGTGTCGCCGCGGGCGGCGCCGCGGGGGGCGGCCGCGGCTCCTGGGCCGCGGCGGCCTGTCTCCGCTTGAGCTCGAGGGCCTCGAGGACGCGCCTCGCGACCTCCCGCGGCGGCGGCGGCGCCGGCGCCGGGGCCGGCGGCGCGGGCGGCGGCGGCGCGGGCGGCGCCGCGCGCGGGATGGGCGGCAGCACGACGATGGGATACTCGTCGTCCGCGGGCGCCGGCGCGACAGGCTGCGAAGGCGGCGGCGCCGCGGCCGGCGGCGGCGCGGCCGGCGGCGCGGGCGACGCGGCGGCGGCGGCGACGACCGGCTCCGGCGCGCGCGCGGGCGCCTCCGAGGGCGGCGCCTCGGCCTCGCAAACCGCCATGGGCTCCGGCTCGACCGGCGCCTCGGCCTCGCAGACCGCCATGGGCGCCGGCTCGACCGGCGCCGCGGCCTCGCGGACCGTCGCGGGCGCCGGGGCCGTCGCGGGCGCCTCCTCGCGGACCGCGGGCGCCAGCGGCGCGGGCGGCGCCACAAATTCGAGGTTCCCCGGCCGCGAGAACGCCTCCTGGGCCTCGCCGTCCCATCGCACAGTCCACCAGCCGCCACCGCCCTGTTTGAGGAGCGTGCCCTCCTTCGTGCCGGCCTTCTCGCGGACGCGCGCGCCCTCCTCGAAGTGCGCGTATCTGGGGTCCGGCCCCTTTTTGTGGCGTTTGGCGCCGCGCAGCCCCGTTTCGCCCGGCGGCTTCGGCGGCTTCGGCGGCTTCGGCGCCTTGGCGCGCTTCGGCGGCGGCGGCGCGGGGCCCGAGCCGCGGGGCCGGATGAGGCCCATGGGCACGCGCTCCTCGAAGTCGCCGTCCTCGTAGGCGATATCGAAGGTCGGGTCGCGGCTCGACGTCTTCGCCGCGTGGACGCGGACGACGCGGCCCGGGAACCACTTCGCCCCGCCGAGGAAGCGCGCCTCGACG